ATTGGGTTGACAAACACAAATTATGGTCATAACATGAGTTCTCTAGCACAGCCTAATTTATTAATTCAATTCCTTAACTAAGATTGGTTCGATCTTAGCTCTAATAACCTAATGTTCATTAAATTATTAAGTGTTCCAATTCATGAAAAATAATGGTCATTAACTACATAGAATAAGAAGTTTAAGCAATCAAATTAACAAATCAAGCATGCTAGGAATACCAATCAAACACAAGACATAACCAACAAGCAAGTTCTAGATTAATTAAATAAAACCATGAGTTCCAGCTTCATCTAGCTAACAGAAGCAGCTAGATTTAGTTGGACATGCTAACAAGTAAACATAAACAAACCATAGTCAAAAACATATTTAAATGTACCAAACTATTAAGCTAATTATGAGCTCTTCTTTTTCTTCCTTGGCATGCAACCCAATTTCCAGACCTTCTCTCCTTCTGATTTTCGACTGCAGAAACTCTCCAAGTCAGCCAAAAGTCCCTCAAGTCGTAATGAACAAGCGAATATATAGTTTCTGAATTTTCCGTTGTCACGTCATGAACCGATATGTTTCACGACGTGAATTCGTTGTTATTCGTGTTTGACAAGGAGTCTTCTACGCGCATCTTATCTTCTGGAATATTATAACTCACTTCGTGAGTCTTCAATCCTCACGTCGTGAATTGAGCTGTTTATGTGGGTTTATTCTTCTTTTATTCTCCAAGCCTCCAAAGTTCCAAGCTTTGTCGTTTTTAGTCCCTTTTCTTCAAGAAAGCTTTTACTTGGCTGCAAAGTACAATTTAAAAATGTATAAATATGGCAATACCAAATACCCAACACTTATTCTTTGCTTGCCCTCAAGCAAATCTAATTATTTTAAAATCAAACTCTTATCACTAACATCACATAGAAAAATCCAATTCAAGCTCAACCATTATACCAATACCTCAATGCGCATATTTGTGTACTTTATGCTGGTATGATAACTGTTGTTGTAGGAAAATTTAACCAAAGGAAGATGAGTGTCCCATGACGCGCCGAAATCGATGACGCAGGCTCTCAACATATCTTCCAATGTCTGAATTGTTCTCTCACTCTGTCCATCAGTCTGAGGGTGGTAAGTTGTGCTCATATCCAGCTTAGTTCCAAGAGCCTTCTGTAGTGATTGCCAGAACCTCGAAGTGAACTTGCTATCTCGATCGGAGATAATGGACACAGGCACACCGTGCAGTCGGACTATCTCTCGGATGTAGATTCTCGCGAGTCTCTCCATTTTGAAGTTTTCCTTGATAGGCAGGAAGTGAGCGGATTTAGTTAATCGGTCCACTATTACCCAAATGGTGTCGTACCCACTCGGAGATTTGGTTAATTTGGTGATGAAATCCATAGTAATCCTCTCCCACTTCTATGCAGGTATCTCTGGTTGTTGGAGTAGACCTGAGGGTTTCTGATATTCGACCTTCACCTTGGCGCAAGTCAGGCACTTGCCCACGAAGGTAGCGATCTCTGCCTTCATGTTCGGCCACCAATACAGTCTCTTGAGATCGAGGTACATCTTGTCCGAACCTGGGTGAACGGAGTATCTGGTCTTGTGAGCTTCGTTCATTACAACCTCTCTGTAACCACCGAACTTTGGGGTCCAGATCCGGTCCATGAAGTAATAGACTCCGTCTCCCTTGATCTCTAGGTTCTTTCCATTCCTCTCAAGACTTCACCCGTCATGTTCTCTGGTCTTAGGGCTTCCAACTGAGCCTCCTTGATTTGCGCGGATAAATGGGAATGGATAGTCATGGTCAGTGCCTTCACTTTATGACCTGAGTACTCCTTCTGGCTGAGGGCATCTGCTACCACATTGGCCTTGCCGGGATGGTAGCGGATTTCGCACTTGTAATCATTGAGTAGCTCAACCCATCGCCGTTGTCTCATGTTCAGCACCTTCTGATCGAAGATATGCTGCAAACTTTTATGGTCAGTGAAGATAGCGCAATTGGTTCCGTAGAGATAATGTCTCCATATCTTCAATGCGAAGACCACTGCTCCTAATTCCAGGTCGTGCGTTGTGTAATTGACTTCGTGTGTTTTCAGCTGTCTTGAGGCATAAGCAATGACTTTTCCCCGTTGCATGAGCATACAGCCCAGGCCCTGATTGGATGCATCACAGTAGACAACGAAGTCCTCCGTCCCTTCGGCCAGAGGCAAGATAGGTGCGCTGCATAGGGCCTGCTTCAACGTTTAGAATGCAGTGTCTTGCTTCTCACTCCAACAAAAGGGTACGCCTCTCTGGGTTAGAGTGGTTAGGGGTTTGGCAATTCTGGAGAAATTCTTGATAAATCTACGGTAATAGCCAGCGAGACCCAAGAATTGACGGATTTCTGTGGGTGTCTTCGGTGCTGACCAGTTCTCTATCGCCTTGATTTTGGAGGGTTCCACGTGTATGCCTTCCTCGCTTACCACGTGACCTAGGAAGGTTACCTTTCGAATCCAGAATTCGCACTTGGAGAATTTCGCGTATAACTTCTCCGTCCTTAAGGTTTCCAGCACCGATCTCAAGTGCTGTTTGTGATCTTCCTCGCTTCTGGAGTAGACAAGTATATCGTCGATGAACATGATGACGAACTTGTCCAGGAAAGGACGGCACACCCGGTTCATCAGGTCCATGAACACTGCCGGTGCGTTGGTTAGACCGAAAGGCATAACTACGAACTCGTAGTGACCATATCGAGTCCGAAATGCTGTTTTAGGAACATCACCCTCATGGACTCGTAGCTGATGGTACCCTGATCTTAAATCTATTTTCGAGAAGTAGCTGGCTCCCTGAAGTTGATCGAAAAGGTCGTCGATTCGAGGAAGAGGGTAACGGTTTTTGACAGTGAGCTTGTTTATGTAACACCCGTTTATTTAATAAATAAATAAATTAATTAATGATTTTATTATAGCCCTAAAATCAATAATTATTTAGCAGGGTGTGATTTCGAGGAGCTAATTGTAAAGATTTTAGAAGTCGGGGATTAAAAGTGTAAGTTCCAAACTCAGTTTGTAAATATATATAAAGACAGGGACCCCGTGGTAATTAATTGGATTTAATTTAAAAAGGAAAAGAGGTGGAGGGGCTGAATATGTCATAATTACGACATTAGGGGTTGTTTGGTAATTCATGGGTCGAATTTGAAAGGAATTTATGATATCAGGGCTAATGGGTAAATATTAAATTTAAAGTGAAGAAGATATTGTGGGGAGGGACTAAAAATGGTAAATGAGTGAAAGTTTCAAGAATACGGGACTTATACCCGACGAATCTTCCCTCTCATTTTAATGGAAATTTTAATGGAAGAGGACCCCTAACCCTAATTGATGCTCAGCCGCCACCACAAGAAACTACCCCTAGCCGCCATCGTCGGTGTCGGGTCCGACCGCTACCTCCTTGACGTTGAAGATGGAGTCCACCGCACCCAAGATCGCCGGCGAAGCTGCTGCCAGCGACGAAGAGCAGCACAAGGATGCCAGCAGCGGGCTGTCGCTGCCCTCCTCCGGTGAAACGAGCTATGTTCGCCACTGTGCAAGTCGTGTGTGTGGATACGAAGTTCTCGGTAATGATTGTAACCACCCATCTACTCCTTTCTCTTCGTTCTTTCTGTGATTTGGAGTAGTTTATGTCGACAGGGGCTGCCGGTGGTTTTAGATCATCGTTTTTGGTGTTTCCGATCGGCACCTGCCACCGTAGTGGCTGTATTGGGAGTAATTCGGTGTCCAGCTCGTGTTTACGAGTGCGTGTGTATGTTTGCTCGGCTGGGGACAAAGAAAAACCACCGCCACCATCGGGAGGTGGTGGCTATCATCGTAACTGCTGCTGCTGCTGCCGTTTTTGTGTTACTGCCGCCGCCTTGAGCCGTCAGGTGGGTGGCTGGAGTGTTGGATGCAATCTGAAGTTTTTGTGCGTGTGTTTTGTCTAGTTGGAATACCAAGAACAGCCACCACCACCACCGTGAGGTGGTGGCTGCCACCATGTGTGTGCTTATTTTGTTTAGTGTGTGTGTGTCATCTTGAGATTTAGCCTTGTAAAATGTAATTGGAAATGGAATAATGAAATGAAATTGAAAACCACCACCTTAGGGTGGTGGCTGCCGCCACCGGCCGCCGTGTCAGGTGGCGGTGTGCTTAGTTGTGTTGGGATTGCTAGTTTGGGGATGTTTGGTCAAGGGACTAAAACCCTAATGGGCCTTGAAACCCTAATGGGCCCAATGAGGCTTAATGGGCATAAAATCCCAAACATGTGTCTAATGGGCTTAATGGACCCTAATGGATCCAAGGACTTAACTAATGGGCCTATTGGGCTAAGATGGGTTGGAAACCCTAATTAGGGTTTAGAAAACCCTAATATTGGATTTATGGGCTTTGACTTATTGAGACCCACTTGTGGGCCATTGGAATAATGGAATTGTGTGATTAAGCCCAATCACACCATATGACTTATTTAGAAGAATGATGGACTTAATGGATTAAGTCCTTAATGGGTTAAGTGAGAAACACTTAACCCTAATCGTCATTTTATGTGAAACCCTAATTTCACATGGGTGTATTGTTAGGCCTTCTATTGGGCCTTGATGATTGCGTTATTAATGGGCCATCCAAAGTCAAGCAAATGGACTAGAATATTTAATGGGCCTAGGGTAAGGCCCATGTAAGGGGTTTGGGCCCAATTTGGAAAATTGGGCCATAGATGGGCCATAGTATGGGCCTTAATGATTATATGATGTTGGGCCTTAGAATGAGACCATGTAAAGGTTTGGGCCCAATTTGGAAAATTGGGCCATATGCTGGGCTTTGAGCCATAGTTGGACTTTTGGGCCTTTGGATTGGGCTTTGGGCTTAAATAAGCCAAGATAGGGGTAATGTAGTAATTACCCAAAGCATGTACTTATGGTTATGTAGTGGAACCCAATTATTAATTGGGTAATGTTTCGATATTGACAGACCGGGAATCTGTCATCCAGCAGCTGGGGTTGAGTCTGCGGGACGTCAGCAGTGTGGGGTTGAGTCTTCGGGACTTCAGCAGTGCGAGGTGAGTTGCCTTCCAGTAGGAGTGGGTCTACGGCCACAATGCCGACCCACTAGTAGGAGTTATTTGTTAGATGATTGTCTTTGTGATATTTATCTGGTGTGTTGTTATCTGATATGCTTTATGTGCTAGGATGCTATGACATATGTGTTAGTAGTGGTAGGGGTGATATAGCCCATAGTTACTGGTTGAAAGATACCGAAGGGGTAGGTAGTACCCATGCATGCCTAGCAGTATGATCATGATATGTTATTATGTGATAGTGGTAGGGGGTGAAATAGTCCCCGGTTACCGGTTGAAAGATACCGAAGGCAGTTACCGGTTGAAAGATACCGAAGGGGTAGACATAACCCATGTATGATATGTTATTAAGGGACCAGTATTGTTATGATATGCCATTATGTGATTCAGTATGTTTATGTTATGTTATCATGGAACCAATATGTTTATGACATGTTATTATAAGGTAGTGGTGGGGGTGAAATAGTCTCCGGTTACCGGTTGAAAGATACCGATGGCGGATACCGATGGTGGATACCGGTTGAAAGATACCGATGGTGGATACCGGTTGAAAGATACCGAAGGGGTATACAGAACCCATACAATGCTTATTTGTTTGTTTATGATGTTAGTATGTGATCAACATGTTTATGATGTTAGTACCTGATCAGTATGTTTATGATATATTACTATGTGATAGTGCTAGGGGTGAAATAGTCCCCGGTTACCGGTTGAAAGATACCGATGGTAGTTACCGGTTGAAAGATACCGATGGTATTATGTGGTATGTGGTATGATGGGGGAACTCACTAAGCTTCGTGCTTACGGTTTACAGTTTTGGTTTTAGGTGCTTTGTTTGCAAAGGAAAGGAGCCGGCTTGATCGCAGCGCATCACACTATGTTTTCCGCACACGAGATCCTTGGGATTATACTCTGATATGGTTTCATAATATTATATTTTGATTATTCACACTTTTGGTTTTATGTAATAACCTAATTAAAAATGAAATTTTTGGCCTTAAATTTTGGGATGTTACAAGTTTGGTATCAGAGCCTTGGTTTGAGGGATTCGGGCACACTCTCGGGTGTGTCTGGACTCAAACTGAGGGCTTGGTATGAAAATTGTCAAAAAAATCATTTTATAAAAAGAATTTGAAAAGAATTTGGACGGAGAAAAAAACTTTGAAAAGAACAAGGTGTGTGATGCGCGCAATCAGCCGAGCTCAAGTAAGTTTTCCCCAAGATACCCATACATGTTGTGTTATGATATGATATGATTATGAGAACTGCATGCTAGACTAGGGCTAAGGGTCTAGGAAGATGCCTTATGTGCCTGTTGTATGTGCTTGCTGAATTACATGATAGTACTGATCAGTTAGTGATAGGATAGCCTATTTAGGTTATGCCTGATTGTGTGAGCCTTAGAATCGCATGCTAGTATAGATCCCTAACAAGAGGATAGACTAATCTGATTGGAATATGTTGGTGAGATTTTCCATTGTCTGAATGCTGCTTGCTTGGTGCTTTGAGGGACTCTTAGTAATGTGAGCTAGCTACTAAGTGAATATGCTAAGTCGCGAATGACTATATTCATGAGGGAGCTAGTTGACATTAGTGGGAAGTTCTTTAGAAGCTGAGGACTGGGTGAGTACGGGAACCTAGGAAAGCCTAGGATATGCTCAGTGGGTTAGTAGTGAGGTTCAGTGAGACTTGGGTGTACCAGTTGAGGAAGTGACTTGGAGGATTCGGGAGGATTGCTGAGGAAAGGATGGATAGGTGTGGAAGGTAGTATTGGGCCCGTACTACTTAAAGCACATGATCCATACTCGAATCAGTGAGAGTCTTGGAGAATCTAAGAAGCTTCAGGGAAGAGTTTGTGACCCAGTTTGGGGACAGAGGATGTTCCAGTTGTTGCAGCTTAGCCATTGGCAAGCGAGCTAGTGAGCGTGACAGGGTGTCAGACCCTGAAGGATATGATTTCCAAGAGTTGCAGATGCGGGATCGATTTGGGAGCACCCTGGAAAGAGAGGTGCGTGCCAGGTGCGTATAGTAGAGGGTCCCGGGAAGAGACCCATGACTTCTAATCATCGGGTGAAAGGCCATCAGGGTCTGAGTCAGTGCAGCACGTACGAGAAGGTACACGAGGGAGTTTGTCACTCCAAGGGTTTAGGCTGCTACAGGGTAGCGGGGTTGGTCATGTCAGCAGAAGGGGATCAGATTTCAAGAGTACTCATCGAGATTTCCAAGGATGGGAGATCTCAAGGTTTAATCGGTGATTAAACGCTAGCATGGGCAGGCACAGGTTGTCATCAGTGGGATATTAGAAAGCGAGGAGGATTGGGAATCCCTCAATTCTCATGTAATGTGAAGACTTAGTCGAATCTAAGTGGGGGATAGACTTTTTATAAAGTTCTCCAACTGTGACTTCTGGTTGCACGAGGTGCAATCTCTTGGGCACCTTGTCAACCAGAAGGGCATTCTCGTTGATCCGGCCAAGATAGAGGCAGTGATGCAGTGGGAGATTCCGAGGTCTCCAACCGAGATTCGGAGTTTCCTGGGTCTAGCGGGTTATAATCGGAGGTTTCTACGGGACTTCTCCGAGGTTGTGGGTCCTTTGACCCGACTGACCAAGAAGTCGACGACCCTTCGATAGGGGCCTGGGCAACAGGCAGCCTTCGAGGCTCTCAGACAGCGGTTGTGCGAGACACTGATTCTCACCCTGCCAGAGGGTGTAGATGATTTCATGGTTTACCGTGACGCTTCGATCACGAGCATGGGTGCGGTATTGATACAGTGGGGTCACGTGATAGCAGGTTTTGGGAACCAGGTTAGAGTTCTGGTTAGGACTCAATTTCAGTTGAGGGTTAGGTCGGGTACGTGTTCGACCCGGTTTGGAAAGTGTTGTAAGACTATGGGGGTAGTCGTAGCATTCACTAGCGATCAGTTAGTATGGCGGATACCGGTTGAAAGATACCGATGGCGGATACCGGTTGAAAGATACCGATGTCGGATACCAGTTGAAAGATACCGATGGCGGATACCGGTTGAAAGATACCGATGGTGGATACCGGTTGAAAGATACCGAAGGGGTATACAGAACCCATACAATGCTTATTTGTTTGTTTATGATGTTAGTATGTGATCAACATGTTTATGATGTTAGTACCTGATCAGTATGTTTATGATATATTACTATGTGATAGTGCTAGGGGTGAAATAGTCCCCGGTTACCGGTTGAAAGATACCGATGGTAGTTACCGGTTGAAAGATACCGATGGTATTATGTGGTATGTGGTATGATGGGGGAACTCACTAAGCTTCGTGCTTACGTTTTACAGTTTTGGTTTCAGGTGCTTTGTTTGCAAAGGAAAGGAGCCGGCTTGATCGCAACGCATCACACTATGTTTTCCGCACACGAGATCCTTGGGATTATACTCTGATATGGTTTCATAATATTATATTTTGATTATTCACACTTTGGTTTTATGTAATAACCTAATTAAAAATGAAATTTTTGGCCTTAAATTTTGGGATGTTACAGTTCAGCTCTCGATAATCGATGCACATCCGAAAGGATCCATCATTCTTCTTCACAAACAAGATCGGGGATCCCCAGGGTGAGGAACTCGGTCTGATGAATCCTTTGCTGAGCAGCTCATTGAGCTGACTAGATAGCTCCTGCATTTCTGCTGGTGCTAGACGATATGGAGATTTAGCTACGGGAGTAGCTCCGGGGACTAAGTCGATGCGAAATCGACTTGGCGTTCAGGAGGGATTCCCGGAAGATCTTCGGGAAAAACATCGGGAAAGTTGCAGAATTCAGGGATGCTCTCGAGGTCTTTAACTTCCTGTTTTTCGTTAATGACGTGGGCTAGGAATGCATAACACTCCTTCCGCAGGAGTGTCACACCCCGCTAAAGCGGAAACACAGGGCGTGGCAGTACAAAGGGTTTCATAGCAAAAGTTAAAAGACAACACCAACCATAGTATTAAAAATCATTACAAATTTACAATGGGTTTGAACAACTTTTAAAAGAAATTACAATGTAAATTGAAATACAACACATATGAATGCTCCTAAAAGTGAAGTGCCCCTAAGTGCCACTTACTCGATGATTCCTGAAAAAGCATGTAAAACGAGCGTCAACTATAAAAATAGTTGGTGAGTACTCACAGATAAACAAAATAATACTGGTTCCATGAATTGAAATCAAAGTTTTGATAAAAGTTTCCAATAATAAAAGTATATTGTTAAAATGAGTAAATAAGTTTGTAAAAACAAAGTTCTTTGTCATCATGAGAGATAAGGTATGTTGCCCAAATAAGATGCAACATTCATATTCTCATGGAAGATAAAGTTCGTTACTCAAACGAGTAAACAAGTTTCATTGCTAAAATGAGCAATCAATTTCATTGCTACAAGGAGCAAACAATTTCATTGCTAAGACATGTATATAAGTTTTCAGTAATAAAAGTTCGTTGTTGTAATGAGAAACAAAGTTCATTGCTATAATTAATAACAAGTTTATTGCTATAACGAGAAACAAGTTTGTATGTGTATGAGCAAACAATGAGTCTCAACCAAACCTATGAATGAAGCCCTATCAAGATCTATGCTTATCGTTCCATAGATGAATATGGTATCATGCACTCCAGCAATAGGGCGAGTGAGGAGTTGTTAATTCCTAATAGCGCTATCCATAATGACCATTGGCTCAAAGAGTTAATGGTTAGAGATAAGGGAAGGGCCTTAGTACGATAAGTTCTCATGTTCCGTGTTGCATAGACATACATAGAGAGACATAACAATAAAATAACAATCATGTTTGATATAAATCAATTTAAATACAACATTCAAATAATAGTTTTTCGGGACATGCTTTTCCACCCCAAAACATAAAAACCGAAAATAGGGGAGTGCGTGAATACTCACAATGCATTGAGATGA